TTATGATTTCCACAACAGGAAATTACAAGTGTGGTGACCGAATAATTACATTTATTATTTTGATTACAACATATCTAATTTAGAGCTGATCCAGTGTTTAGAAGACCAATTAAAAAGGTTACGCAAATATTGCTATATTCAACATAAAAGTGAAAAAAGCAAAGCAGTATAGTAAAACGTATGCTTTTGAAAATAAATGGACCCTGTTTTTCACACCTTGATATATATATATATATATATATATATATATATATATATATATATATATATATATATATATATATATATATATATATATATATATATCGCCGCCACTAAATAATATGTGCCGACTATTCTAATATTTGTGAAAATTTTCGATAATATCTTTTTGGAAAGGCGCCAAACATTCATCGCCCACACAAGAAAACACAACGCGCCGGGACACATACAAAATTATGTTCATTAAAATTCAGGGCTTCACAGTAATTATTCCTAACTCTAAAAACACTTTCTCAAGTGGCAATAGAAACCACGACGTTCAAATTATCATTTTAGCAACTGTATATTTGACAAGATTATAATTGTTACATTGTGACAATTTTTTACAAAACTGTATCCCTTTGTCGACATTTGAGACTAGATTAGAAGTGTGACATTGTGCTCATTGACAATAGCAATTTACAATAGTCATTTTCCTTTGTTTATAAAATGTTTTTGTTGTTCATGTCAAATTGATGTATGTTTAAATGCTAATTTAATTCTTATATCGTACCTCTACACCTATATACAATCTGATTATTATAGATACGGCTTCGAAGATGATGAAGAGTATCGACAACAATGGACCATTCATAGAAACGGGGTCATTGGACTGACTTCATCATACATCATCCATATAGAGATGTTTTGTTTCTGATTTTTAATACGATGAGTAATACCTATAGATCTACACCTTACTCTAGTCTACAAAATTTAAAGTCATTCAACAAATGAAACATACTGATAGACTTTTATTGCCTACAGTGTGTACATCCAAGGAATAAATCGACTTTACTAGTCAATCTTGGGAAAAGTACATACAAACGTTCCAGTGATTTGTGACAAACGTAAATGAGCTGATCTTCTATTAACACTATGTATAATCTCCAATTAAAAACAATAGCTAATGTTGATATATAAAAATCATTTTCAATCAAGACTCGTTTGTTTTCGTATAGATTTTCCGTTTGACTTAATGTATTTTTTTTTAAAGAAAGAATACAATGTAAAATAAGAAGTCTAATCGGATCTTTCAAATCCCGCTAGCCTCGAACATGCATGTTTCAGTTTCGTTGAAGGAAGAGTCAACCCTTTTGGCTCCGTCTTTAAAGCATGGATTCGGAGCCATTTTCAAAACAGCATTGATTAAAATGTTCGTCTTTAAAAAGTTTCATAGTTCAATCTCACTCTCATTTTATCTAATAAACTTGTTTGGCTCGTCATATTATACATCAACTAATATTCGAAGTCGGGAAGGTTCCTGATCGACAAAAGAAACTCGTATTTACAAGCACAGTTTTAAAACAATAAGATATGTTTGATATATAAAAAGTAAATGTTTCCAATATAAATGAGGTTGTTGTGGACTGGCTACAGCTATCTGATCAGATGCAAAGTATATAAATTATATGCAGATAACCAGTATGTACAATATCGATAGTGTAGACACATAATCTTTGCAATATCGACAGTTCAAACCAGCTAAACACGTTGATTTGCAAAGACTTTTATACTTTTAAGTGGAGATCAGATCTGAAATTTATTTCAAAAGAGGAGTAAACTATTTCAAAACTTTCCTAATACAGCGTGTTAAAAAATGTTCAGTGTATATTTCAAATATTGCCACGTTGTATTGTGAAAATGGGCCACCTGTACAACAGGGGTCTGGTGCTTAAGCACACCTAAGTACAATGGTAAATCTGGCCTCGTCTCTCTTGCGTAATCAAGTAGATTGTTTTTCTGTAGGCCGTTATCTATAGTCAAACAGACACCGAAGTCTCTCTTGTGTAATTTAGTAGATTGCTCTTCTTTAGGCCGTGATCTATAGTCAAACAGACTCGGAAGCCTCTCTTGCGTAATCAGATAGATTGCTTTTCGATAGGCCGAAATCTATAGTCAAAAAGACACCGATGCCTATCTTGTGCAGTCAAGTAGATTTAAGAACCACTGCGGTTGACTGAATCAACTGCATTCAATAACTCACTCCTAGGTTAGGGATCGTCAGTAATAATTGGAATACGAACTGTCAAATAAACTATTGAAAGAAATTTCTTGACAACATGAACTTTATTTATAGAAATAGAACACGGTAAGGTGCAACCCACATATTGTAAACGTCTCAAACTTTCTTGGGACCGGTCAGTTTCAGAACAATAGGATGACGGGTATCTCGTGTCATTAGAAGATATAAAAACTGACTTTAATTTTGTCCTTTTGTGTCAGATGTATGCACCACTACAAATTTACTCTCTAGGACATCAAGCGTAGTTAACAGAGCCATATGCTACACGAGAGTTTTGAAGGAGAATTTTATAAGAATAATTTCTTACCTGTTCTACATGTTACGAAAGGAGAAATTCTAGATGTCTGTCTCTTATTTGTATTTTGTTACTTTTTTTCAAATGGTATTAGGCATGTTGGAATGTAACCAGGCTGCGATATAGATGTGAACCATGGGGCATTGGACGCCCCTGCTTTATATCCTATCAATTAGAAGTTTTGTTTACGTGTGTCTCACCTGTAAAATTATTGCTTCATGTTTGTCTTCATATATTTTTGTCTATACTTGCTGTACTTCTGCTGTGACATGTTTCTTTATATTTGACGATAACTTTTTCTGAAAACCAGTTATTTAGGGATCGGTTGAATATGTTGTTGATTTTATTAGTTTTTGTTGTAAGGGGTAAATTCGTTTTGCACCGTCTTCATGTCCATTTAATCATAAAATGGCTAGCATATCTTTGTAATATTATTTTATGAATTATTTCCAAAGGTTCATGAATTTTATTTTCACTGACTTATGTCATAGTAGTAATAGAAGACGCCGCGTGGGATTGGATCTAGCGAAGTAACTGAAACAAATATAAGGTTATTCAGCAAGTAAGATGCATGGATAATTGATTTTCACTCCTCTATATTCAAATAGTTTTATCCCTAACAGTGATATTTAATAAAACTGATTCAAAATTAGAACGTTAAGTTAAATGGACTATCATAATCCATTTCGATTCCACCACTCTCGTGTGTACGGTCATTTCAAAATACTTATGTGTGTGTGTGTGTGTATATATATATATATATATATATATATATATATATATATATATATATATATATATATATATATATATATATATATATATATATATATATATATATAATGCATTGATATTAAGTACACTGTACACTCATGTTCGAGATAACAGCTTTATAACTGGGAAAAGAGAGTTTTAAATATTGAAACTTACATCGTACAGTGTTTGACCCAAGGACGATGGAAAAACAAGTTACAGAAAACAAGTTACAGTATTAGACCCAATAGCAATGATAAACATTGAACTAAAGACGGTGATAATCCTTGACCCAAAGACAATGAAAAACCTTGACATAATGACATTGATAAACATTGACCCAATGACCATGATAAACTTTGACCTAATTACTGTGGTAAACATTGAACCAAGGACAATGATAAAACCTTGACCTAATGACAGTAACAAACCTTGACCTATTAATGGTGATAAAGCTTGACCTAATGATGGTAATAAACCTTGGCCTAATAACGATGATAAACATTTATCACATTCAACTTACTTTTAAAGTCATAGGTCAAGGTTTCCTTTTAATACCTTTTTTTTTTCAAAGTCCAAGTTTTCAGGTATTTCAGTTATTAAATTATTCTCTCTCTCTCTCTCTCTCTCTCTCTCTCTCACACACACACACACACACACACACATATATATAAATATATATATATATATATATATATATATATATATATATATATATATATATATATATATATATATATATATATAGATAGAGAGAGAGAGAGAGAGAGAGAGAGAGAGAGAATATATATATATATATATATATATATATATATATATATATATATATATAGAGAGAGAGAGAGAGAGAGAGAGAGAGAGAGAGAGAGAGAGAGAGAGAGAGAGAGAGAGAGAGAGAGAGAGAGAGAGACAGAGACAGACAGACAGACAGACTCATATATGATATTGTGAAAAATCGATTCAAAATAAATTAGGTGAATTTATTTATGATGTGTTAACTCTGAAAATTTTACAAATTTGTCTCTCTTCCTTTGTCTTATAATGATGTCATAGACGAATGATGTTCCTTGAGGTGAATATTCAAGTTTCATATAAAATTTATTTGTACTATTTATTGTTGTAGCAAAATGCGTTCGACTGGATTATTTGTTTCGTTTTTCTCCTATCATGCATTGTATACCCGCAGAGAAACAGGAAGTCAGGTGACTTACAACACATTAAGGAACACGTGGCTCATAACGATTATCTTGTCAGCAATTAATCTGACACTCAGATGCAAACGGTTCATTTGTAGCAGTAGTGGGATTGAAAGGCACGTATGTGGTCTGCAATGATTTTACTGCACTAATGCTACGTTTCGTTTATAATCGATGCAAACGTAAATTTTCAGTGGCTTTTATAAAAATTTAATCACTTACCTTGAGATAACACGCAAACTTTTGTGCATTCTGGAACACTAAGAAATGAAAGATTTGGATTTTTAATGTAGCTTTAGCAATTTGTCGGTCATATCGCTACGATGTCTGCAGTGTGGCAGTTTATAGAGATGTCTAGCAGTTGGGACACCAGGCAACATCATGTCCCACCCATCCATATTATCCTGACAATGGACAGACAAGTCATGGCACCTCTTAATGCTGAGCGCCAAGAGAAACAGCTGCTAGTACCATTTTTATAAGTTTTGGGTATAACTCGGCCTGGGTTCGAACCTGCGTCCTCCCACATCCAAGGCGGACTCTCTAATCACTAAGCCACTAGAGCAGTCACTTGGAAACTAATGAATAGCGCTGGATGCATTATGTAAATGGAAAAGGCAAATAATGACAGAAGCGTGAACAGTGAATATTATCCAAGGCCTCGCGATCCTCCAGAGATCTGAACCAAAGAGACTTCCATGTGTGTGTGTGTGTGTATGTGTGTGCGTGTATGCGTGCTTGTGTGTGTGTGCTTGTATGTGTATAATGGTGTACTAAGAGTAAATGGCACTCGAGGCGACAATGATGACCACAAATGGTTTTGGCGCACCCAGACCAGTGGCGCGATGTTGCCCGATCGTCCCTCCACCCTCATTACTAAGTCACTGTGTGTGTGTGTGTGTGTGTGTGTGTGTGTGTAAGGTTGACCTCTCTTTTGGGGAGCAGGATTGGGATTGTAATTTATTTATAAATCGCTAGTAGAACGGTCCAATAATTGTGTCAAAATAGCGTCAAAAGGAGGTAATGAAAATGTAGGGACAAGCCAGTGACAAAAGTTGGGACAAACTGTACCATTTGGTAATTGGGGTCAGAAAATGATATTTTCCAGATATAATTATTAATATAGGTGGAATAGAGAGAATAATGTTAGCTTCGACGGGCGTGTTAAATATCTGGCGGTTACAAAAGTGAATTCTGATTGGCTAATCTAATGAGTCGGTGGGTTTCCCAGAAGAAGCTCAATGGGTTTTTTTTATTTTTATTTTTTTATTTTTATTTTTTTTTTGCAATTTCCTTGCGAAATTCGTCAGTCTAAGCTTTTCTCCCGCAGAAGCGAAGTCTGGGCGGGACTTTCTAAAATTAACAAGTAATTTGGAAAATTAGATAAATCGTGCATTGGACTCGCGTCTGGAAGAATTGGGGAAAAAATAACCAGAGACAGAGATTAGGCTGCATAGAAAGTGCGAGTCTAGAAAAGGCACGTATATATTGTCTCAATCAGATACAATATAATCATTGATGTAAGATTGAAATTATTTGTTCAATTGTTTCGTTTTAAATTCATACTTCAATTTTCCATTAGTTCAGAAGGCAATTGTTAATGTCTTGAATTTTGTACGAGTCATAGGAATGTCATTGAAATGATTGTGTTCGGATTTAGTGGTCTGTAATTATATGTGGTAGAGATTGCCCGCATTACTCTGATACGAATGGTGAGAATTAGTTTTTCTTAGATAGATAACCTATATCGTGATGCAAAAGAATTGATTTTGCTTTGTTTATGTAAATGAATCGCTAATTTGCAAGTAATGTAGCTACGACCAGGCGTAAAGTGCATTAATTCATTTGCGTTATTAAGTTGTTTGTTTTTTTAACTTAGAAAATTGGCTTGTATCGACGGACGCGATTCAGCTACTAATTGACATCCAACAATGGGATGTAACAGTTTATATAAGAGGTCTAGTTATGTCATGGCTCCCGTAATTATCCGCTAGAGAGACATTAGTTTTATAATAATAGGTTGTGTGTGTTTCAGGTTGCGAACTAACACCCTGGTTTATTTCTGCTAAATTACGATAAGATGATATCTGACGTAAAAAGCGTGGGAAAAAGCCTAACAGATATTTAAGTTGCTTATTATATTTATTTGAAAAGGAAAACTAGCTCTCTACCTGAGCTACCCATATGGTATGATTGCATGCCACCTCTAAGTTACGGTTGATGACTGAAGAAGTTGACATACAGAGGGGAAGGAATGAAAATTACATCAACTCTATCCCGTCAGCAGCGATATAGAAAGGACCTGACGCAGCTAGGTTTTGCTGGCATGCCGGCATTTTGAGTTTGATCATTCACACGATTCAATAATTAAGTTTTGTTTGTTGGCATACCAGAAAGTCAATTTGTATTTGATATAATTTGTTTTTATTCTGTTTCTAAGAAAAGTGTATCATTCAAATGTCATGTTCAGTTTTACTTTGTTTATGTAATTGATTAAATTGTTATATTTTGCTTATAAGGGCTGGTATTGTTTGATATATAACTTTGATCAGATCTCTATTATTCCATCCATTAATTTCATATTTATTGTTTGTTAGATCCGGGCAATAAAACCGAGGTCGATCATCAATATAACGATAACCAAAGCAGCATAACAGGTGGGGGACCTTATCACCCACCCTCATATTGAAATCCGCAGTAAGAAGTAATCACGTATAAAAACAAAAGCAATCGATGTTTCAAATGAGCGAATTTGTCCGCATTGCATCCCACGACGGTAATATAAATCAGCTGCGGGAATACAGACAGTACCTGGGGGAACTCGGGTCTGGAAACGTATAATATCCTGTACAGGTTACTAAAAGACCTTACTCAAGAAGTTTGAGTAAATTAAACCTGGTGTGGCCGTTAATATGTTTGCTAGGAGCAATGGAATTCAGCAGATTAAACTAGCACCACATATACAAAGCAACCATTTAAATTGTCGGACGGATGGTTTTTTGGGTTTTTTTTTACTATTGTTGCGCAATAGGGACGGCTCCGTGGTGCGGTATTATTACATATGGATTGTATAAAAGATTTCCGCGAATGGGGTACATGCACAGTAAGTTCGAGGGGAGGAAATTTCCATGCAAACAATGTACGCATGTAGTACCCAACAGCTTCCTGAGGACCATGTCGCTGTTACTGCGACTGAACTAGATCAATAAACCGATATCTGAAACCCTATTTTTATTCTACTAATTCTGTCGTAATATAATACCAAAGAAGTATACAACAAATGTATAATAATTTTAGATTGATCTAACACTCAATAATAACAAAAGATTTTACTTAATAATATCAAAAGAAACGTAGTGTAACTGCAATTAAAGCAGACTGAAAATCAGGAAAAATATTTCCAACCAGTAAATTGCTGCGTCTAACAATGCTGCCCATCAATTATTGAAATCGTGAGTTTTAACTCCGTTATATGTAACATATAGCCTGCGACCTGGTTTTGTACCTGGTTACATTTACATCAAATGGGCAGCCTGGTCCCCTGTTTATTATGCTCCCTGCGTTGCACTTCCCTATAGTATAGCGGAGTGCAACGCAGGGAGCCTAGTAAGCAGGGTATCTGACTAATGAAGCGGGTACATTCAAAAATCGCTATCCTGTCTACGTCCTGGGGAAAGTTACTCATGCCTGGTCTAATTAGTTCCCGAGTTTTGAAACTATCGTCGTTTCAAGGTTTGGTCTACAGCGAAGATTCTGCCTATTGTTGACATGAAATGTTGGCACAAAACAGACTGTTGATGGATTGATTACCCTCAGGGCTTTCTGTTGTACCACCTGTGAGATATATCGATGGATTTCGCCTGAAAACTGGTATCTGTGCCAAGGCTGTGATGAGATTTAATTCAGTAGGGATGCAGAGAACGTCTGGCTGTGGGATTTGCATCAACCTGCACGAGTTAATCATGTACTACAAAAGTTTTCGTCAGAGCACACCCTTTGCTGAACCTGACTCAAACTTTTACCCCACCCTCAACCCCCCACACCCAGGCTTTCACATGGACTTCGGCTTAAATTAGAAATAAGTACGTGACGTTAAATGAAATATAATGTTCAATCGTATTAGCTGATTGAGTCATGTATATATTACAACAGATTTCTCACTGTATATATGAGTGACTGGCAGATTAAATGTTATTTTCTCGTTTGAAGGAATTGTTCTTTACCTTGCAATTTTTTTTTGTCCGACACATTATTTGTCTACCTTGCATGCAATCAAAATACGGAAGCAGATAATATAATCACTCTGATAGCTATGAATAGCAGGAACTAAATACAAAACAGTTTTCAAATTAAATTGCAGGACTCCAGTCATGAGTAAATAAAGAAGAAAAATAATTTAGAAAAGTCTCTTGAATAATATTATAAACTAAGTATAAATATATCACAAAATTATTTCCATAAAGAAAATATAACTTTTTCATCCTGTATAATAAATATAGAGAAGAAAACAGATATGTCTAATATAATTTTATTCAAAATAAGTTCCAACACATTTACAAGAATCACGAAGAAAACTGACGCAGCTAGTTGGCCCGAAAGGCTTCGAAATGTTTGTTTGATTTGGTATTTTACGACACAGGAATTTAATTTGGTGTTTTACGACACGGGAACTTAATTTGGTGTTTAACGACATAGGAACTTAATTAGGTGGGTAATTGGAGTAATTTCACCAAGGACACAACGGTAGCTGATCCGATTCGAACCCATACCGTGTAGGTCTCAAACTCAACACGCTAATCACTTAACCTGTATGTACTGGCTGGTAGGTGTATCTTTATACATTTGGCTTGAATAAAGTTGATTGCAACCTGATACAATAAAAACAAGCATGCGAACAATTCAAGAATAGTAAATGTATGTGTAGCCATACCAGGAATGGATTTACCATGCAAAGATGCTAACAATGCAAACTTTTATTAAAATCATAAATAATAAATCATCGTGTTGTAAATATTCATACTCCACCTGGGAACGTGCAAACTATTTACAAAATATTTTATGTGAAAGACGATAATACTGTGTGTGCTAGCTTATAAGTCATTTACAACAACTAACTGCACAAAGCCACATTTGCCGTTGCCTACTGTACTGGCAGGTCTGCGTCATTGTGAATGTTCAATAAAACAATTAACATAGACCCTGGGATGCCATCGCATTATGCGACAGCAGATCAGGTCTATGTTGCTTTCAGCAGAACTCGAAATGTAAGAGAGTACATACGGTACTGACAAACGTTAACAAGAAGCAAAGAGTCTCTCTCTCTCTCTCTCTCTCTCTCTCTCTCTCTCTCTCTCTCTCTCTCTCTCTCTCTCTCTCTCTCTCTCTCTCTCTCTCTCTCTCTCTCTCAGGCATTAACCCAAACAAACAACAATGCAATACACTGCATTGTGGAAAAGAAATTTGTGGAAGTATAACATGATATTGATATCCTTGCACTAGCTGAGTAAAGGAACTTAGGTTAAGAAAAAAATCCACACAAAAATAAGCATAGAAAAAAATAAAAGA